CTGCTGAAAATATTTTACTAAAAAGTAAACAAAAATATCTAAACTAATGTAAAAAACCCTCTCAAGAAAAAGAGAATATGGCACCTTCTTTACCTCTTGCTGATCATATATTAAGAAGGTTGGGTCTGTGCAGCAGTGCACACGTATTCCTACCCCTTCCTTTCTATCAATGTGTGCATATTTGGTTTAAATGGAGTTTTCTGAACTTTAGCATTTATGACAGCAACACAACTGCTTTTAGAAATACCATTTCACTGTTGGGGATTTTTTTGAAGAGAAATAGAACATAAGCTTTCTTCCCCGAGAAGCAGCAGTAAAAAGACCAAAATCTGCACCAGATGATATCGTTCGGATAGCATCAGGACTGTTTCACATCTGCTGAAATTTATCACAGCAGCTGAATTTCAGGACGGCACCTGCAATTTTACTCACCTGTGCAACATACAACTGTTTTAAAACTAAGTAACTAAGTACATGCACAGGTTTGTGGGTTTTTGGCTAAATTTATTGAGGGAAAAAAAAGAAAAAAAAAATGAAAAAACCCCCCACACCTAGAAATTCGGTTAGTGCAGTAGGAATCCAAAGTAAGCAGGCATGGCTCTAGGTGCAGTGGTAAGCTCTGCGGCACTCCTCTGGCTAGCACACGAGGTGTCGTCGTAAGTTGGCATTACTTGCGTCCAAGGAGAGTTTTCGACTTTGGGGGAGATCTTATCGGGCAGACAAACCCCAGACGGCAGCAACATGCTGCATGAGCATCAGGTAATCTGTGACACTGCCGTTAGCTTGGAAACTATACAGACAGCAACAGTTCAGAAGTTTATACATTTACATGAAGCTAAGGCAGTATGAATACAAAGCAGTGTAACTGGCATTGTTGTTGTTGTTTCAGTAACAACAGGTTTTGTCTTGGTGCCTAGACTTTGAAGCAATTTCCATATCTTCCTCCACTGCCAAGATCCTGCCAAGGATCCCTCTTTTTCCAGAGCTTGCTGAAGAATTCAAAGATCCTCCTCAGAATCCTGAAACTGAAGTGGCTTATGTGCAAGATGCGAAAGGGACTGCACTGCCGCGGACCCTGACAGAGACCGATCCGAAGAGTGCTTCCCTGCACAGCCTTCACTTGTACCTGCTCCGTGAAAACCTCACTAAAATTCGGCATCACGCTGGAAGAAAACAGGCAAAACAAGGGCTTTGTCACTTCCAGTGGCTTGCTGTTGGTCACAGGTTGTCCGCTCAAAGAGGACATTTTGTGATGTACAGTCTAGAACTCCTTAAAAACCCTTTAGAAGGCCCAGACTACCTTAGCAAGCCGTCTGCTGTTGTTTCGCTATGACATCCTGTATTGTTACCTGCAGCGAGTTTCGAGTCAAAGCACTGCTTGCACTGCAGACAGTATTCATTTCCATAGGCTTCCTACTTGTTACAGTCTGTTATGTTAATTGTGCAAGTTTGTTTCTACAGCCTTGAAAATGGGAGTCTTGTTTTTAAAACTAACTTACTTCCACATTTCACTTTCTTTCATCTTACTGTTTCAGAGGGAATTATTGCACATACGAAAGCATCGGAAAATATAACAAAATTTTCAGCTTCCTTGTTTTCTTTATTTCAATGGCATTGATGAACCGTGACTTTAGGGATCTTCGCTGCCTTTAGTGTTTGGAAAGGCAGTGGTTTGTCTTACTCCTAGTTTTAGAAATTATAGGAAGGACTTTTCTATTTTTTCTGTTTAGCTGAACAGCACAAGCTTCCAGAATGCTCAAGATAAGAGAACGCTGCTGTAGTCCCTCATTATTTTGAAGCCATTAAGAACCAAGTAAAATGAACGGCTGAGGTAGCAGGGTAACAAATAGTTAATGGCTAAGCAGCACAGTTCTATCACCTACAATGCTCTTTATTTTTTTAAAGATCAAAGTAGTGCAGAACTTCATTTTCTCTTGTCCTGGATGGAATGCACTAAAAAAACCCATATTTTTTTCAAAAGTCTATTGACATAAATATTCTGAATTTGTTTCCCGAGATTGTTTCCCGTACTTCCTTTCAGATGCTTACTTGCCGGGTAGAAAAATGTCGAGGTAGACTCACAGCTGGTAAAGAATTTTGCGATAGCTCCGACTTTTCCCTGTTGTTCGCTGTGATCAGAAGGCAGAGGTCTCAGGGGTTTGGGAGATCGCGTCTGGGGAGTTGCCAGGGTTGTTCTGGATGAATCTCTACAAACCTGTCCGTGGTTCTACCATCTCGGTGCAAACCTGAGGCTTGGGCCAGAGCAGACACAGGAGCCGCTGGCCTGTTTCTAACATTGTTTTCTCACAAGGGCAAGGCACTCAACCTAATCTTAAATACCCAGCTGCTTCTGCAAATGATGAAAAAAACCCCATTGCAAGTAAACTACTTATCAGAGCATCTGTGGACCTTACACTACTCAGTAGCTATCCTTTGACCCCGTACACTTACATGTTCCATACGCTAATATTTTCTCTGCTTACCCTGGAAGGTCTTCAACAAAGGACAAAAATAACCAGCTTGTGGTTCTAGTACAGGCAGGAAGAATTTAATTTTACCTGTTCACACAAATACTCAACTATTTCTCATCCAACATTGTGTAAATATCTCCCAAGCTTAAAGACAAGGTCAGATTGCTAAATGTATCGAGCTTGCTATTACAGTACAAGAATTTGTTTTAGCTTTATTTTCATGTACAGTTTCAGAGTATAGAGAGCATAGAAAATGGTATATTTTAAGGCATATTAGGTAGAAAGAATGTCCCAAAATCTGTTTGTCCTGTTAAAACCCTCGTTCAGACTGGTTTGGCATTTGTTTTCTTGGTATGCAGAACACTCCCCTCTGTCCTGTTTCCTGCGTCATCATGCATACGCTGCAGTGTGTACGCCGCGGTGTGCACGCTTTTCCCTTTTAGTGAAAGCGACAGAGCTTTTACTGTGGAATTAAGCTGTGTGTTCATGTATATATACATCTTTATTTTAAATATTTGCTCTGTAAATGACCCAAGGATTACCAAGGCAAGAAACCGAAGAAGCATCTCTTTAAGTCAGCGGCATAACAGCTTAATTTACAATTTTACAGGACTGTCTTCTAGATATGATAGCTGTAATCCCTATTTGCTGAAGAATTTCCCTTACTATTTCAAGTTTGAATAAAACTGGCAAAATGCCCTGCTAATAGTCTATCTCCTTTCAACCTTAAACCCGCATCTGCTTATTTAAGACAAATTCCGCTTGCTAGAAAAATTCAGATTTTGAATCTGAAATGTATTCAGCAAACTGCAGAAAAACTTTTTTAAAAAGTAGGGTAATAATTCTTGAAATTCAGAGCACTCCCACTACGAGGAAAAAAAAAAACCTGACAAAATACTAGCACCACGCTAGACTGGTGAGAATGCAGTTTGCTCAGAAGGATTTGGGGGTTTTACTCTCCTCACTACTTTCACTGCGTTGTCCTGCCCACTGGTCTAATCTCTTCCCAGTCTTGTCGCACTTTCTTCGCTCCCAAGCGCCGAGTACTGCACGCCCCAGCATTGCAGGGTGTTCAAGGCATGGAAGTGGAACTGAACGCCCTGTTACTCACGTTGAAGACAGTTCCTCCACAGTTACGCACCTGAACTCTTCCTTGGTGAGAAATCAAGGACGAATTATCCGAAGGAATGGGTCAGACTGTCAGCTGATGTATAATGCAGTAAGTACCGACTTTAGTAGAGCTGTGCTACTTTGTAATCACAAATTTGTTCTCCATTAAGTATGAAACCTCATTCACAAGCTATTTACTTTTTTATTGCCTATGTATTGGGCCAGCAGTAGTGAATATACTGAAATAAATAAATGGTTAGAGCTTTTACAAAGGCAAATCTATATTTAAGCACCAAAGCTGTGACTAACCAGAACAAGCCACTTCATTCGTCCTCCACACCAATCTCCCAACTCCAAAACCACCATCAGCCAAAGCCAGTGTCACACTGCTGAGCAGCTACGCCTGCTGTTACACTACAGATTTATCTCACAAAATTACTGAAAAACAAAAATCACCAAGTCATTTCATCTTGAAAAACTATCCTGGACTTCAGAAGCAGAGCACTTGCACTCTGATTTCTTCAGCAGGCGTGTTTAGTTCAAGGCAAATCCTCAAAGGAATTTGGAATGACTTTTCTAAAGGCCAATTTCCCAATGGGCAGACTCAGGGAATGCTTTTGGAAGTGAAATAGTAGCCATGAAATCACTACAGAGTAAAAGCCCGCTGTAATAAACACATGGAGTTTGGCTGTAAACACCAAAGTTTGGCATTGCCTGATCACTAATTTGCTGACAAATTTGCAGATGTAGGCAAGGCAACGCTTTTATGCTTCCCCCGCTCCCCTTCTTCCTTCCAGAAAGACCACACACAATGCCAAAATACAGGGATATCGGCCTTTCCTACTGCCCAGACTCCTCTGGTCCCATGCTTGGCACCGAATTTGCTGGTAAATTCTCCCGCCACGTGCTCAGCATGCTTAAATGAGATGTGAAAGAGAATCAGTCAAGGGAGTCACTTGCTGGAGTACCAGGAGGAGTTGTTTACTTTTGCAAAGCAAGTGGTTTTAACAGAAGCTCGATGCAACTCCCTGCACATTGTAAATAGCAGACTGCCAGTCCTCTGCCAGAGCAGACGCGCTGAGGGCAGCTGTGGGCTTTCGTAATTGTTTGCTTTTTCACTCTGATCGGTGCCTCATTCTTCACTCCCCTATATTTATCCCATCCCAAAGGGATACAGCTGGTCCAGAATACAGGTAGCACATTGCTTATGAAGTAATTTGCATGGGCTTTATTTGTGATCTGCTAGAGGCCAGGAACAAACTGTTAAAGTCTACTAAAGGGAAAACCATTTCTGATGATGAAATACGTAAAACAAACAACTTGGCTCTGTCCCGCTCAGACCCCTGCCCCGTAGGCACCAGGCGTTCCGTTATAGCTGCCATTTGTTCTTGTCCTGTTTCATACCAAGAAGACAGCACATTTTTAGAGAAACAATACCTTTACTACAAAACCATGTAAATGATTATATACAAAATGGTTACTGGAATTTGGTTTTGTACTGCAGTGACAGAAATAACTAGCTGCTGACATTTATTTACGCTTCCTTAATACTAGGTACATCACGCCACTGATCAGAGTAAAGATGAATGCGACCCAGGCTAAGACGAAGGAGTAGCCGTACTGGCCTTCAGAAATGTCAGTGGGGTACTGGTTGCTCTTGTGTAGCTCTTCGTGCCTGTCTGTGTAAATGGAAGCTGCAATCATAACGCACAGACCTGGAGGAGGAAGAAAACAGTAAAGTTTAGCGCCTTGAACTACTATCAACCTGCACAGTAACTATTCACTGCCTCTCTCCTGCCAGCGGCTGCTGCCCGTGTCCCGTTTTGCAGACCCTCGTTTTCCATCCCCAGACTGCAGGCGGGGCATTGCCGGCCACGCTTTTGGTGTCGTTGGCACGGATCACGTCTGCAGTGCTGTGCTGTATTTGTGGCATTTGCAATGGAGACAAAATGATTCGAAGCATCTGGACAGTTTTAAAGACTGACAGAAATGAAGGTGGTACCTGCCTACAGCAATTACAGACTTCTTTAATTGTTCAAGAAGTTCAGAATCTCAAATTCTTTCCCTTCAAAGTTTAAATGACTTTATTCTGAGCAGTGATGTCATCCATGTTTTAACAGCCTAAATAGTACAGAATGGAGCAGTTCGCTGTTTAAACAAACACAAAGGATCAGCTAGGACCTCGAGAGCCCTCTACATTTCTCATGCAGCTCCTTCTTTTTGAGACTTTTCCCCTTCCCTTTCCTACTTGCAAGTAAACATCACTGAAGTCACAGGTATTGAAACGTCACTCACATGACAGGAGCTGGATAATAGAGGTTAACACAAATCTTTCTCCTTGCTTCAGGCGGAAGAGTTGAAGAATGAAAACCAGAAACGCCACACAACAGAAAATAGTAGACAGGATCATGGTGGCCTGGACAGCCTGAATTGATTGATACTCTGCAAAAACAAAAGCAGCCTTGATTAAACACACAGTTTCTCTCTTTGCCTCCTCCTACAACAAGTGGAGGGGCAGAGCAGCGTTCTGGAAGCGGGAGTTCAGCAGACACAGCACACCGGTGCATCGCCTGCGGTGGTTCTTCTCTGCTTCCGTGGCATTCGTATGGCCAGCGGCTTATGGACTTTCACAAGGTTTGCACAAACCTGACTACAGACACTGAAGAGCATATTTCTCCCACGCGGCATCCTTTGCTACCCTCTGCGTACCAAATGCACAGCAGAACTGCTGGACCCGCGCCTCTCGCCGCACCTGGAGACAGCTCTGCCCGCTAAGATGTTGCCAGACGGGACAGCCCCGCTCGGAACCCAAGATCCCTTTGATTCCCACTTTCCATCCCATCAATTGCTTCCCTGTAACTAGGAGCTACAGTAACTAATGCATTTGTAACTACGCGCAGCTGCTTTTGACGCGGCCACGCCGAGTTACACGGGTGAGCTCCTGAGAGCACCTCTGCTCCAGCACAGCTCTTCTGCCACGGGCAGCAGGGCTGTGAGCAGCCGGCGCTCCGGAGCTGCTCACCACCCAGCCAGTTCACGTCCTGGTGTCGGTCAGGGCAGAGTAACGCAGACACCAGATGCAAACTCACTGCGCTCGTGTTAGCTTAGAGACGCCTGCGCATAACGGACCATCTCACTGCAGCATGGATCAGGCTCTAAACCAACTGGATGCTTGGAAAGCAAAGCTACTTTGGGTACACAACTTTATGGGTATCCTCAACCTCTTCATATACACAAAGATTCAAAGTATAGAAATGAAGTAAACGTAACATATGAGATGATTGTTTTTATTTTTTGCAAAGCGGGATATTGGGCTGTGCTGTACACTGAGTCCTCTTTGCCAAAAATTCAGCTTGTGCTGTGACTTTCTTCCACTCT